ACACAGTATTCCATGGTAGAGATCATTGGTACTGGTAGTGGTGTGGTAATGTATATTTAAAGAGGTGTGAACCTGTCATACATTGTTGTAAACTAGTGGTCCCTCAAAAATAAGTTACAGGGCCTCCCCTGGTGGCGCAGGCGGTTGAGCACCGTGCTGTGATAGTATGTGCCACAAGCAAGATAGCCATAAATTTAGAAAGTTTGATCACTCTTTTTTTAAAGATTTGTTTATGCATACAAGAACTGGGGTACAGGCCAGAGGTGTGGGGGGTGAGAGAATTCACCAGAGACAGAGCGGGGAACAGAACAGGCAGATCGACTGAAATACACTGCTGAGGGGAGCAGCGGGCAACTCAGGAGAGGTCTGCTGCGCCATGTGGGTACAGGCATTGAACTTGTGCTGCAGTGGTTGTGGATACCTTCATAGGTTGCGTCTTAACCCCTTGTGCCACCAGAGAGGCTCTAGGTTTAAAACTTCTTTAAGGTACTTTTCAAGAAGTACCTTAAGTCTTATATAGAGAATAAATTGGGAAGTGAAATTAACATAGTGTAAAGTAAGATGACTTCATAGAAGAATCAAGAGAGATAAAATCTCTGTTCTTTAATCGAAAGGAAACAGGGTCTTTACAAACAGTGTAACTATGGATCATGATGTTGTTTTTTTGCATTTTTTAAAAACAATGGCCACATAACTGCAGCCAATTTAAAAATAGTGCTTTCATATTCTATCCGCCTTTGTAGTCTAACATTTTTCTTTCCTCTTACAGCTGGGAATGGAGGAAGAAGATGTGATTGAAGTTTATCAGGAACAAACAGGGGGTCATTCAAAGGTTTAGATATTCTTTTTATTTTTTTCCTTTTCCCTTAATCCTTTTTTATTTTTAAAAATAGTTCTTTTGTAATGTGGTGTTCAAACAATTGAAAACTGGCACCCCATCTCTTTAAAACACCCGGTAATTTGAATTTTAGTGCCCATTATTCATTATTGTTTGTTTTCATTGTGCTGATTTTTGGTGATCAAACCTCAGCCCCCTTCATATTGCCCTCTCCTTCAAAAAAAATGACACGTGTGTACAGAGAGGCCACCTTTTCCAGGACTGTTCATTTTCATGCTTGTGATAAGTAAGATCGACCAATCCAAGTGTTCATAATGACTTTCCAATTAGCCCTGAAGTTCTAGCAGGTGATTGCTTCACTCCTGGACTATGACTTTCAGTGGGAGATGGAAGTTTTTCAGAGAACCGAACTGTGGAAAAATGACCTTTCCTTAACTTGAAGCTACTTTAAAAGTCTGAGGGTCCTGGACCAAGAGAAGAGGAATATCAGGTTGGAGATAACAGATGTGGTGAGAATAATGACTAACTCCAAAGCTGGCTTCACTGAAGAGAAAGCATTTTAAGATTAAAGAACAATTTGTCAGAAGATCCCAGAAAAGTTTTCATTAGCAGTTAAAGTTATTCATGCAGAAGTGTATGCAGCAAAACACTGCTCTTTTTGATTTTATTTGTACTCTTTGGCCTGGGATATGGGTTTTAAATGGACATTGTACCAGCTTCATTAAAATAAACAAAATATTTGTAAAAACCGTACTAATGTTCACTTTATTTTTAACTGTATGGAAAGAAAATGTCTACACATAAGGCTTTTTTGCATAATACTGAAAATCATTGTTTGTACATGGCACAGATAAATTTTTCTTTGGTTTTGTACAATGATGATGCTATGACTTTGAATTTGAAGCACTGAAAGTTACTGAAGTGCCTTCTGAATCAAGGATTTCATTAAGGCCTCAATACTTTCTTAAATACTCAGTGTTCTGTTTTTCAAACAACTTGGCATTCCTGTATGGTGTTATATACATGACAGTTATCCAATCATGTTGAATAAATGGGCACGACAAAAATTCTTAATTGATTTATATTGATAATTTCAGTTTTCCCTTTAACAATTTACAAAATGTTTTCTGCTTACTTTAGATCGGGTGTATTTTGTTTATATTTTCCTTTCATTTCCTTCTAAAATATTTAAACTTTATATAAAATTAAAATACCAAATAAGTTCTTATTAGAGTGCTTAACTTTTTCTTTTAACACTTTAATCACAGAATTCACCTTATCTGTACATAGTCATAATCTAATTTCATGTTATCCCAAAATAGAATATCATCTGATGAGAAGAACAAGTATTTCCAACCTGTATTCCTCTCTCAAATAAATCTCAAACATTTTATAAGCTGTTACAGCTTACATACCCTATTCAAATCACCTATTTAAAGATAATTGGCTTGCCTTATGAATTCCTGTATCTAACCCTAATTGAAAAATTATTTGTATAGTACAATTATAGTCTAGGTAAATTAGTGTTTTTAGGCTATCCCTAGCTTTATCATTATATTGTGACTAGGAAGTAGCCCCATTACTAGGAATTCCTCATTGAGTTGCATGTTTCTGTCAGGACTGAGTAACAAATCTGATTGGCTATTTGAGTTATTTGAATACATAAATATGTAGTTTGGTATCTTCATTGTTTGTATCTCTGAATGTTGTGAAGGCACTCAGCATTTAGGTGGAGCTTAGTTACTGGGGAATTTTCTTAGTTTATTGAATTCTGTGTTGCACTATGGCTTTTAAATGTGTTTATCTGGTGTAGTGCTGATAAAATAGGCATTTCACAGCAACAGTTTAATAGAATATCAGATTTGGAAAGGACCTGGAATAACACTTAGTGTAGCCACTCTACCGGTGTTTGCACATCCTGCATTTGTAAGAGAAGGGCGGAGATAAAGTCAGTAATGGTAATTTCCCCCACAAGGGTGTCTTTCTTGAGTGTTCTTCTGTTCCTGGTTGAATTATTTGAGATGTTCCTTTCACATCTGATTAAACATTACTGACTGAATGAATGTGCAAATAGGGTTGTTACAAGCTTGGGAAAACATTTAAATTCACTATGTTAGCCAGTGTTTTGACCTTTTTGCTTTCTAATGTGACATAAAGCAAAAAGTTAAAAATAAGCATAAAATCTAGTAAGTCCAATAACAGCAATATAAAATAAAAATTCAGCTTGACTTCTGAATTGTAGAGGGACATTTCCTGTAGAAAGTATCAGAGCCCACCTTAAAATGTGCTGATAGCACTTATATTAGCCTACAGTTGGGCACAATCATCTAAAAATATTTTGTAATAAAGTATTGAATATCTCATATAATGAAGAGAGCTTAGAAGCATTAATGGGGGCCTCCCTGGTGGCGCAGGGGGATAAGTGTCAGCACTCTGAAGCTATATGCAGCCTTTGCAGCACAAGTTTAATCCCTAGCCAGCCAGGGAGTTACCCACATGGTGCAGCAGGCTTCTCGTCTCCCCCAGTGCTCCCCTCAGCAGTATATTTCGGTCAATCTGCCTGTTCTGTCTCTGGTGAATCCTCTCACCTCCCCACACCTCTGACTTGTACCCCAGCTCTTGTATGCATAAATATATAAATCTTTTTTTAAAAAAGTATTAATGGGAAGTTTGAGGGAATCTGCAAATATTTCTTAGAGCTGGTATAGAGGGAAGTAGTAGGGTTAAAGGAAACTTGTGGGAAAATACTGCTTGCTTTAACATTCTTTTATGTATCTTGTTTGTGAAAGTGCTCTAATTTCTAGTGATCATTCTATGGTAGTTACTAAGTATTGAAAAAGAAGTTAAAGACATTAATCAAGGCCTTGATAGAGTTAATATGACTAAAATTAGGAAAATTTTGTGAGTGGTTGGTTCTTTTTTTTTTTTTAAAGATTTATTTATTTATACAAGCACTGGGTACAGTGAGAAGCGCGGGAGGAGGAGAGAATTCACCAGAGCCAAAGTGGGGAACAGAACAGACAGACTGATGAAATACACTGCTGAGGGGAGCAGCGGGCAGCAGGAGAGGTCTGCGTGCCATGTGGGACCCTCGCCTGCGACCGGGGATCGAACTAGTGCTGCAGAGGCTGTGGGCAGCTTCGCAACCCAGCGCTCAATCGCTGCGCCACCGGGGAGGCCCAAGTGGTTGGTTCTTAAAGACATAGGGACAAAACCTCAAGTTTTAATTTTCAGGGCTCTTAGCATGGTCCAGTAGAACTTTCTGTGATGACAAAAATACTCTCTTTGTTGTCTAATATGGTAGCTAGTAGCCACATACGGCTGCTGAACACTTGAAATGTGGCTAGTGTGATTGGAGAATTGACTTTAACTTAAATAGCTACATGTGGTTTCTTAATGGACAGTACAGCTCTCAATGTTGAGGACAGCCCAATTTGCTCAAATGAACTATTTATTAAGATTTTATTTTTGCGTAGGAGAGGTGGGGTGTAGGCCAGAGGTGTGGGAGGTGAGAGGATTCACCAGAGACAGAGTGGGGAGCAGAACAGGTGGATTGACTGAAATACTTTGCTGAGGGGAGCAGCGGGTGAGACAGGAGAGGCCTGCTGTGCCCTATGTGGGTAGTTCCCTGGCCAGGGATTGAACTCAGGCTGTTGTAGGGCCCTCGCCTTCTGAGACTTAACCAGGGAGGCTCTGAACATTTAAATAGACATTAAAATTTAGATTCTTAGGAAGAAATGGATGCCATTTTGCCTTATACAGATAAAATTATTTGAATGTATGCATTAGCTTCTTTTAGCTAGTTCATAATTATTTGCTTTACAGAATGTTCATGTACCTGCAATTCTTTAAGATGTTGACTGAATGAAATACTTTGACTATCCTAAGACCATATGTAGTGTTTTAGTAACTGCAGTTAAACTGGAATTTAAACTGAAATTATGGGCAGTTTTAGGCACCAGTGTGTGGTTCCAGAGGACAGAAAGAAGTTAGGTGGGTGAAATGTTTACTTGGGCTACATCAAGTATGTAATGGTGGGGAGGGATGGTGGGAATGGAGCTCCCAGTGAAGTTAGGTGTGGGTTGAGGTATACCAGATGAAGTGGAATTGGACTTGGTATGAAACTTAGGAGGTTTCTCTTTGTCACCACATCACAACTTACTTTTTAGTTATCTTCTATCCTTAAGGTCTGGGTATTTGCAGTAACTGGAAATAAGAGTAGACCCATGATCTGGAAATATTGTGTGTCCACTGCAGGCCACTGGCTTCCTTAAGGAGTTCTTGCTGGAAATGAAGACGTTTCTTCAAAGCAGATTTTTGCCTAAGGAGACAACCCCACCCCCAATCCCAATACTTGATTAAGCATTCCAGAAATTGCCCTTATAAGCAAACAGGCCATCAGATAGACTTGGGACTATTGATAATGCATTTCAATGATCACACTCTGTTTACTTAGTGACTTTATATACAAAGTTTAGAGTATGAGCCTCCTAGGAAAGGTGTAACTCAGATCTTAAATTCAAGTTGCTGGAAAAGTGACTCCCTTGTTTTAGAGATGAGGAAACAAGGTGGAGAAATTAGAGTATCTGAGTCAATGCCATATAAGTGAGATGAACTAACGTCATTTGGCCTCAAATTTTTCTAACCCCTGGTACAGTGAGGTTCTGCTTTTCATACACTCCTTTACTTGGGTTTCATACACTCCTTTACTTGGATTAACCTTACAAAATTGCCTAGCTTATTCTCAATAAAGCTTGTCAGTTTTCTTTTAATGGGAAATTGGAACTCTAACAGCTTGCTATTATTCTCAATACTTATTAACCCATCCTTACTGCTATAATACATGGGATACATTATTTTGAAATAGAATCAAGACTTGCCTAATTATCTGGTTTGTAATTCACATGGCATCTGAGGGAAGTCCAGAAGAGAAACAACTCAAGTTTAAGTGGATAACCTTGAAATAGAATTGTTCTGGCTGCTTTCTCTTTCTGGTCTCCTAAAAAGTATTAACTTAGATTCAGCTTAACTTGTGAAAAATACATTTCAAAATATATTTCTTAATTAAACTATTACTTAAGATTGCAATCACATAGTTTTCTAGTTTGTGCTCCTTTACCCTTCAATTTTGATGGTTCTAAAGGAGGATGACTTTTTTACTTTCATTAAGGAGGGGAAATCCATGATGACTAAAGGAACTAAGTTCTAAGAGCTGATAATAGTCAATCATCAAAAATGCAATCATCATTACTATTGTAAGTGTGTGAAAAGGGAAAATGCCATTGACCCCTGATAACTGATTCTGTGCTATTTCTCCTGACAACGCTCACACTAGATCAGGTCTTAGTCTACTTCTCTGACCTAGCTGGAAGTATTTGTATCTTGTTCACTTGTAAACTTCATGGGGCTACTTACTGAACAGGGTAGCTCCAGCCATACTGATTTTCTTTTAGTCCAGCATTCATTCCTTTCTTTGAACCTTTGAACTTACTGTTATCTGCTGGAATATTTTCTCCCAAAATTCACCGTAAATATCACTTCTCAGAAATCTTGCCCTGGTTAGTCAATCTAAACTGAGCCTTCTGCAATCCTTTCACATTAATTTTTTTTTCTCTGTATTGTCAATTTTTTTTTAAAGCTGTTTATACTTTAGAATCTGTCGCATCTCTTCCCCATCCCATGTGAATCCCATAGTGGAACAGACATTTGTCTTCCTTACTTCTGAATTCCAGTGTGCAGAATGGTGTTTGGCATGTAATAGATATCCAGTAAATGTGTGAGAAAGCCAGTGGTTCAGAATCAGGATCTTAAGGGTGGTCTTGGCACTGCTCCTGACTCACAGTTTGACCCTGCTCGAGACCCTTCCCCCTGTTTGGAACTCATCTTTCTCATCTGTACGCCTGAGGACTGAGACAGACGATCTCGAGACCCCATTTCAACTTAAGTACAGATTCCTTAAGACTTGGAAAAAATTCTGATACTTGTAGCGAGACAATCTTTTTCTTCCAAACTGTGCTTATGAAGGTGTGGAAAAACTTTAGTTGTCCAAAGGCAGTGCAAAGCTAGTCCTAGTACTATGACCAGATGCTCAAATTCCTGAACAATCCCCCTATGGCAACTGTTGCCCACATGGGTATCCAGTACCTGGCTTGCTCCTGGGCTTGTTTCATGGCTTCCTCCAGAGCAAGCCTTATGGCTTCCTCCTCCTTTTGCCTTCTCTCCTCTGCTTCCAGCCGAGCCTTCTCTTCCGCTTCCTGTTTCCTCCGTTGGTACTCCAGCCGTTCTTCTTCAGCCATTTCCATCAGGCGTTTTTGTTCTTCTGCTAACTGCATTTCCAATTCCTTCTGTCTTTGCCTCTCTTCCTCTGTAGAATAGAAAAGCCCGGTGGACTCAGCAGGAGTCTCATTGTCAGAGAAAACAATTTTTTGACCATGTAATGTTTGTGATTCCCATGAGAAATTCTGCAGTTTACCTGTCAGTAAGCTGCTGGATCCTCTGTTGAGATTACTTTAGAGTTAATTTACTAATTTGAGTTCTTTTTCAAGTACCTACTGTGTGCAGTACCCTGTGCAATTAATACAAATTCTTGAATTTGCCAGTGTCTCATGTGCTCTTGGAGTGGTATGGAGGTGGGTTGAGGAGGAGTGTCAGAGGCTGGGTCTGGAGAAACTTAGTTCTCTGGACTGACCAATCTAAAAAGTGTCATCTGCTGAAATTCCTGCTGCTTCCTCAAAAGTAAGGTATAGGGATTCCACACATCAGCACCTGCAAGACTGCTCAAGCTATCCAGATGCTGTTTCTCTCTGCTAGGGGAGGAAGCAAGGGGCAGGACTATGCAGCTAGTTTAGGAAGCTGCTGTGCATACGGAAAGGGAGGGGCAGAATCCCCATTCAGGAGATGAATAAATTGGGAGTGGGACCCAGGACTTTCCACAGTGACTTTTATTTTGATCTCTCTAACTGATTATAGTCACACATGTTAATCATCTTGGAAAAAAGGTTTATATACTTAGGAATGCTTCACATAATAAAGATAGGAATAACGGGGGAGTCGAATACCCACAGTGCGATAAAAATATGTCAGCCCCAGATAGACTAGAGATGCAGAGAGCATCAAAATCTCCCTCACCAGCCCTCTTGGCTTCTTCCTGCTGCTTTTTTTTCTGCAGTTCTTGCAGTTTTCTCCGGAATTCCTCCTGTTGCTGCCAGGCTCTCTCCTGGGCCACTTGTAGTTGGAGCCTCTGCCTTCTCTCCTCCTCCTCCTTGCGCTGCCGTTCTTCCTCAAGTCTCTGTTTCATCAAGCTGAGAAAACAGTGATGATCAGGAAAATGGCAGAAAGCACTGGGGCATCATTGGGAGACAAGCCAGTGGACAGTGCCCTATGGAGGTTATGCAGCCCACAGGCCACAGGGACAATCTCATTTGGAGGAGAACAACATGGCCTGGAACTAGAAGCTTAGAAGTTTTACACACAGCTTTGAGTTCAGGGAGATTCCCAGAGTTTCATTTTCCATTCTTATAAAACGGATTTTGAAACTCCCATCTCATAGGATTGTGATGATTAAATGAATCAAGGCCTTTGAAGGGGTTATACAGAGGTGACAGGAGCTGAACATAAGTTCGATGGGCTACATCTAAAGTCTTCCCAAGATTCCATGAATAACTATGTGGAGTAACCCCCCCTCCCCCAACAGACAAAACATATTTTATCTTTGGTGCAAGTTGTTCCTAGGATAACTAAATATAGAGAAAAACGAGACTTGCCATTTAATTTAGGACATGAACCTCAGATCCAAACTTTCCCCTTGGATCTGACTTTTCCTTCTGCTTCCTAACATGACCGTGTCCTTTGTGCCTGCTCCACCCACCGGATCTCTTCTCTGCGTCTCTGCTGCTCCAGCTCCAGCTCCTCCTTCATCTTCTCTGCCCTTTCCAGTTGCTCCTGCTGGAGTCGCCTCTGCTCTTCTTGTTCCCTTCTCTTCCTCTCCACCTCCAACCGTCTCATCTCAGCCCTCTCTCTCCGTAACCTGTCCTGGTGCTCCCTCTTGGCGAGGAGGGCCTAAGCAAGCAGAGGACAGGGAGAGTGTAGTGATCACCCATAAGCATGTCTCAGAATGCGCCCTTTTTCCTCCCCAGACTGTTGTCTCCAATCAGAGGTGGAAGTGGTTTCCACATTCTGACTAATCTGCATCAACTCTTCTACCAGGGGCCAGCCTGGGTTCTGGACCTTGTGTCTCTCTTCTTAGGATTTGGTGATCACAGTTGAATTTCTCTTACATTTCCTTCCTCTTGGGGCTGTTACTAGGATTAGTTGTTAATATGAAAATATGATCATAATTGTGACTAGAGTTCTCAATCCTAGCTGTACTTTCAGTTTACACAAGGAGCTTTTAAAAATTGCTGGAGGCCAGTGCATAAAGACAAATGAAAGGAGACTAGTTTTAAGTCTCCTGGGGTGATTCTAATGTGAAGCCAGGGCTGGGAACCATGTGTTCTACATAAAGGCTATTTTGTCAGAGATAGTCTTAGGTATCGGTATATTGGACTTGCGTTTATTCTCTACAAACCCACTTATTCCATGAAAAGTTCTTGGTTTATGTGAGAAATGTCATAGTTTTCTTCTCCCTGGTGCCCCCTCCTTTGTCAGAAATATGCCCATGGGGAGAGACTTGAAAGGCAACTCTTCATGTGTACCCAACTCAGGGGAAAACTTCCTTTTTTTTCTTTTTAGCATTTGCAGAAGCAACATGGTGCTATGGATGGACAATAAATCTAAAAAAAATTTGATAACCTAGTGGGCTCAGAAAAGTTTTGCACACAGGTTAAATTGTTCATCTATTATGTAAAGCAGAAGTCCATAATCTATACAGCTAGGAGAATGGAGAACTAAAAAGGGAAATTCTTTCTGAAATCCTTTTATGGAGGACTATGGGTTAGAAAATAAATATATAATTATTTAAAATAGTGACGAGAACTCTGGTTTTGGAGTCAAAAGCCTGGGTTTAGGGCCTCCCCGGTGGCGCAGCGGTTGAGCGCTGGGTTGCGAAGCTGCCCGCGGCCTCTGCGGCGCCGGTTCGATCCCCGGCTGCTCCCCGGCCACCAGAGGAGGGTCCCACATGGCGCGCAGACCTCTCCTGCCGGCCCGCTGCTCCCCTCAGCAGTGTACTTCGTCAGTCTGCCTGCTCTGCTCCCCGCTCTGGCTCTGGTGAATTCTCTCACCCTCCCGCGCTTCTGACTGTACCCAGTGCTTGTATAAACAAAACAAACAAACAAACCAGCAAAACAAATAAATAAAGCATGCCTCTAAAAAAAAAAAAAAAAAAAAAAAGCCTGGGTTTAAGTCTTGGCTCTAGCACTCAATGGTTGTGTAACTTCTGGCAACAGACATTTAAGCCTCAATTTCTAGGTCTAAAATGGGACTAATCACCCTTGGCTCTCAAGTGTTAACTATAAATGAGATTCAGCAGAGTTGTCCCACACACATGTATTACTTAGGTCATTCTAACCACAGGCTTGGCTATGGGTGTGCTTATAGTGCTTAAAAATACCTTTTATTTTTTTATACAAGAGAAGAAATGGTAGAAGAAATAACAATCTATTCCAGTAAAATTGTGATTATCAGTAGAAGAAATGGTGAACTATACCAATATCAGAAGAAAAATTGACAGTATTGGTCTTATTGAGAGATGTAGCTGTATGGCTTTATATTTGGTTGATTACAGGAATTTTCAAGCACTATTTCCCTAGATTTTCTCTTATATACTTGACATTAGAATCACATTCCCATGGGATACCATGACTTACATATAGAAGCACTATGTGAAGCAGATGTGTGTGTCTAAGTTGCCTATGGCCCAGAAAAGTAAGTTAGGAGAGGCAGACTTTCCATAGCCTTTGAGAGGAAACAATGCATGAGCTACAGGCCAAGATAAGGATATGTGCTTGGCTCTGCTGGCCTGTATTCAGCCTTCCCTGCAACAATGAGGATACTGTACTTATTCCTGCTCTTTATTTGTTTCTTTTTTTTTTTTTTTTAAAGAGGCAGGTATTTTATTTATTTGTTTGTTTGTTTGTTTATACATGCACTGGGTACAGTCAGAAGCAAGGGAGGGTGAGAGAATTCACCAGAACCAGAGCAGGGAGCAGAGCAGGCAGAACACTGCTGAGGGGAGCAGCGGGCGGCAGGAGAGGTCTGCGCGCCATGTGGGACCCTCCTCCGGTGGCAGGGGAGCACCCAGGGATCGAACCAGCACCGCAGAGGCCGCGGGCAGCTTCACAACCCAGCGCTCAACCGCTGTGCCACCGGGGAGGCCCTATTCCTGCTCTTTAAAGGGGTGGCTACAAGGCTCTGGCCAGTTGGGGAGCTTTGCAGAATGCATCATTTTAGAAGGCTTTGCTACCTTTTGTCTTCAATCAGGTCTGACTTCTTAAAGGACCAGAAGCTACCAAAGTAGAACAAACAGGGCCTCCCTGGTGGCAGAGGGGTTAAAGACAGTGCTATCAAGCTATCGCCAGCCACTGCAGCACGACTTCAATCCCTGGCCGGCCAGGGACCAACATGGTGCAGCAGACCTCTCCTGCCTTGCCTGTTGCTCCCCTCAGTATTTCAGTCAGTCTGCTTGCTCTGTTCCCTACTCTCTCTGGTGAATCCTTTCTGGCTTACACCCCAGTTCTTGTATACATAAATAAATAAATGTTAAAAAAAAACAACAAAACAAAGCAGAACAAACAAAACCATTATGTGATACAACTGTTTCAGTAACTGTAATTTAATCCTGGGCAGCTGCACCAATGAGGTCAGAAATTTTTCTGGCCAAGATGAAAACATTGGACCCTACCTTGGAAGGGTCCTCATGGCTTTTCTCTTCTTCAGATGCCATGTTTCCAGGGACAGTTACCATATGGGTGGGTGATAATCTTCCATCAATAGACACTTGACCCTCATGAGTATCATCTTTGGGGGAAAGCCCAGAGTTCTCTCCAGGAGAATCTGAAGGGAAGAAATCTCTCTCTGAGGTGTCTTCCCCTTCCTTAGTGCTGGTGACATCAGACCCTGCTGCTGTCTCTAGAGTCCTGTCCTTCTGTGTCCTTTCTCTTTTGACTCCCATTTTCTTTTCTTTGCGAATTAGCTTTGATTTCTTTTCAGCCTTTGATTCCTTTGATTTCTCTGGATGAAGACAATTGGGGACAGAGATGTAGTTTATTAAATATGATCTTTTAAATTAGAGTGTGCAGTGGAATCACTTGGGGGGCAGGTTCCTGAGCCCCACTCCCAGCGTCTGATATTGTAGGAATATGCACTTTAACAACCACTCCAAGGGTTTGAGAAAGTCCACAGACCACTCTTTGAGAAATTCCCTGTTCCTATTTGGATCAAGTGTAATTCAGCAGCTGTGCTACTACAGAAGTTGTTTCACTTAGGTTAGAACCTAAGGCCAGGGAAAGACTCTCCAGCTGGATCTAAAGGCACAGCTGAAAAGTCATGTCTCTAGAGTCTGGCTTGTACAGTCAGCTCTGTAATTTGGCAATATTTAAACCTTCCATGCTCTAAGGACTCTTCCTCAGTTCACCTCTGGAGGCCTCAAGGATTTCCTCTCCCCAGTCCTGCTTATGCTACCCAGATAACGGACTACAGCAGTGTAAACTCAGCAAGGCTTTAAAGAGCAAACCTCAAATCTTGGCTAGACCTGTATCTAGCCAAGGAGACTACCCAATGTCATTCCTTCCATCAGTCTTTGATTTATTTGGAGGGACTCTTGAATCGTGTGGCCAGGGAAGGATGGCTATAGGTTTTAGGCTCAAGAAAATTTTCAGGAGCATAGGAATCTGAATTCCTTGTAAAGTACAACACAGGGAACCAAGAAGGAAAATGGTAGCTGGGGCATTTAGAACTTGTTGCACTCTTTCCCTTCTAAATGCTCTCCCTGTGCAGTTCTCAGATTACAGTGTAGTTATTAGTTCATAGAGACAGTGGTACTAGTATGCTTTCAGGGTCAAATGGCAGAAACTTTACTATTCAACCTGTTTACTCTTATGTAAGTCACCTAACCCCTCTGAGGCTCATCTTCCACATGACATAACTAGCACTTTATGGAGATCTCATGGGATTTCAGAGCTCACAATACAGTGAGTGTCAGTAAAAAGGTGTTATTATTGTTTCCTCTTCTTGGTTGCAGATTTCTGGGCATCCTTAATTTCCTCTATCCCATCCCCTAAGACATTGACATGAAGTAAGGCTGCCCACTGTCTTGCCTGTGCTAGACCAGGAAAATCAAAACAGAGATTATCCAGTAAAATCCATGCTGATTCTCTGTGACACCTCCTGGCCCCAATTGGAGTCTTCCCTGGTTGTTCCTGGTGGCTCAATCCCTTACCAACTGCAGCCTCTGCTTCCTTGTGGACCTTTCCTTCTTTTCCCCCTTTGGGTGCCTTGGACTTGTCTGTCTTTGTTCTTTTCTTTCTCTTGGCTTTGTCAATATAGTCCATCTCCTAAAGGTGAAAAAATTAAGGAAAAGGACCATGATACATACAAGAAACAAGGAAAAAAAAAAACCCAAAACATAAAATGCCATCAAAGGAAGATTATGTTTAAAAAGGTGACAGAATGGTTTAGAATGGAATTCATGCAAATTTCAGATGAAGCAGAAGAATGAGTCTTAGAGAGGGTGGAGCTGGTGGGGAGATCCAAAAGCTCACCGCTTTTGATTTAAAATAGTGAGGGATAATTTCATAGGAGAAAAGAGGAAAAGAATACATGTTACGATCTGCCTCCTTTTTTTGAAGCTAAATCATGGTTGACAGGACTGGATCAAAGTAAAGTGGTTTTTACCTTTGATAGATTGATGTTGCCACAATCAGTGGTTACTTAGTTTAAATGAAACCCAGCTTTATTCACAGCTGCATCATTTGTTGATTTTCTGGAAAAATCACCCCAGCCATGTCTGTCTTCACTTTTCCCCATGTACTGGGACTGTATGGAAGTTCCTCCTGAGAGGACGACAAAGTGGGCCATGGCTACTCCTCAGAACCTGTGATATTGTAATGTAATAAATATTGATTTGGTCTTCAGCCCTGGTTCCTGGCACAGACCTTCTAAATCCCTGGTCCTTTCTGGAGCATGAAGATGAAAGGAGTATGTTTGTTATTCATAACAAGGCCTTTCAACCGCACCTGAGATTATGTTAATGAGGTGATTTTGGAAAGGCCCTAAGGAGGAGGTGAGGCTGGTTGCTTGGGAAGCAGCAATGTGATTAGAGTTTTGGGACTTTCAGTCCCATACCCCCAAATGCAGAGGAGAGGAGAGGGGTTGGAGGTTGAATTAATTATGATCCACTAATGATTTAACCAATCATACTTAGTCCACAGGGACAGAAGCTCCTGTGCTTGGGACCCAATGTATTTCTTCATCTCGCAGTTCATTTGTATCTTTTAATATCCTTTGTAATAAATCAGTAACAGTAAATGTTTACTGAGTTTTGTGAGCCTTACAAATTACTAAATCCAAAAAGTGGATTGTGGGAATCCCCGTTTAGACCCTGTATAATAGTATAACAGGCAACCCAGGACTTCAGATTGATGTCTGTAATGGGGGCAATCTTATGTCACTGGAGACCTTAATCTGTGAGGTCTGTGTTAACTCTGGGTAGATAGTGTCAGAATTGAATTGTGAGAACACCCAGTTGGTGTCTGGAGACTTGGAGAATTGGTTGAGTGGGAAAAACCTCCACATATTTGGTATCAGAAGCAGTGTGAATGTAGGGAAACCGGTTTCCTTTTAGCACCTTTGTAAAAATTAAAAATGGTACAGACACATCACCCAAAGCAGTGATAGTGAAGGCAAAGATAAACAGCTGGGACTATATCAAATTAAAGAACTTCTGCACAGCAAAAGAGACAATAACCAAAACAAAGAGAAACCCCACCGACTGGGAGAAAATTTTTGCACCCAACACCAATGATAAAGGACTGATCACAAAAATCTACAAAGAGCTGATGAGACTCAACAAAAACAAAGAAAATAATCCAGTCAAAAAATGGGCAGAAGAGCTAAAAAGAAACTTCTCCAAAGAGGAAATACAAATGGCCACCAGGCATATGAAAAAATGTTCAACGTCACTTGCAATAAGGGAAATACAAATCAAAACTACAATGACATACCATCTCACACCAGTGAGAATGGCACATATTAAAAAAACTAGCAACAACAAATGTTGACGAGGATGTGAAGAGAAAGGAACTCTCCTGCACTGTTGGTGGGAATGCAAACTGGTCCAACCACTATGGAGAGCTGTGTGGAGATTCCTCAACCAACTAAACATAGAGCTTCCATATGATCCAGCAATTCCACTCCTAGGTATTTACCCAAAGGACACAGAAACATCAATTCCAAAGAGCACCTGCACCCCTATGTTTATGGCAGTACAATTTACAATAGCTAAGCTATGGAAACAACCCAAATGCCCAAAAATAGATGACTGGATCAAGAAGATGTGGTGCATATACACAATGGAATATTACTCAGCATTCAAAAAAGATAAACACATGTAATTTGCAGCAACATGGATGGAGCTGGAAGGGATCATGCTCAGCGCAATAAGCCAGAAAGAAAAAGAAAAATAGCATATGGTCTCACTCATAGCAGGAATCTAGAAAACTTAAATAAGGGACCAGGAAAAAGAATAACTATAAGAAAGAAAAAAATCAAAATCAACAAACAACTATGAACCAGAGACACATTTTTTTTTTGGGGGGGGAGGAGGAATTGGGGTCAAAATCAGGGGGTTGCAATTGTATGGGGAATATAAAAATAAAAAAAAAAATTAAAAATGGGTGCCTGGTCCTTCAGAAAACTGCATCCCAAGACTGGCGTGTAGGGCAAGGTAGCAGACCATAGCCAAGTTTCTGCTCCCACTTGCCCTCTTTCCTAGGTGCTCTTGTATAGTAAGCAATCAACACACATCTGTATGGTGGCCCTGATGGAGCACCATCCAGCTAAGGCTTTTGCATCAAATTCCTAGGTGTTTATACGCACATGACCGATGCTGGCTGCAACTCGCTGGTTGAACAGTTTTGGTTCAGCCTTCCCTTCTCTTTCTCTTGGAAGAAGAGATGTATCTACAGGACTCAATCTCTCTGGTGACTGAGTTCCATGTCCTGGGTGTCCACTGTGTAGCTGGTATGTATCATGATCTCTGCCCCTTCAAAAACAACAAACCAACAGAAACAAAGAGTAACCACTGGTGGACAAAGGACAGGAAGTGTGAACAAACATCATTTAAATGCCAGTTCTCTGCCAGGCCCTCTGGTGGACATTTTTTAAAAAAGATTTATTTATTTATGCATACAAGAGCTGGGTGCAGGCCAGCTTCGTAGTGCTGACGTTTAACCCCTTGCGCCACCAGGGAGGCCCCTGTAGTGGGCATTTTACATACTCGGTCAGCTCTCTTTTTATCTCGTTTTACTGCATAAGGTCACCAGCCAGGTCAGCCTTCCCTTTTGGGTTTCTCTCTGAGTAAATCTTAAAACTTAAGGAGAAAGAGAGTTTACCTCTCTGGGTGCATATTAATGTTTTTAATGGAATGACGTTGAATTATTTTACTGACATTTCTTCTTAGTCAAAGTCTTAGTTGAAAAAAAAAAAGGTGGCCTTTGACAAAGACTGTCTTGGGGGTCTCCCTGGTGGCGCAGGGGTGGAGTCTCAGTGCTGTCAAGCTATCTCAGCATGAGTTTGATCCCTGGCCAGGGAGCTGACCTACATAGTGTAACAGACCTCTCCTGTCTCGCCTGCTGCTCCCCTCAGCAGTGTATTTCAGTAGAGCCACCTGTTCTGCTTCCCACTTTGTCTCTGGTGAATGCTCTCACCCTTACACCTCTGGCCTATACCCCTGTTCTTGTGTGTATAAATAAAGTAAATATTTTTTTTTTTAAAAAAAGAAAGGCTGTCTTTGGAACATGCAACTATCCATCCATTCTTTTATGCTCTCTGAGTTCTATTCTTGATCAAATTCAGTCACCAAAAGACCGTGTGCTGTGTATGCTTGATCCCTTGTAGAATTGCTGTCACTGATTATGAGCTTTGAGGAGAACTGACTTACAATCTCTGGGTAAAAAGGTCACTAAAAAATAATCACATGGGTTCCAGTAACAGCAGCAGCCACAGCTGATGTGTGCCAGGCCTTGGTTCTGAGAATTTCACTTTTTATTGAAAAAAAATTTTATTGAAGTAACATTGCTTTCTAACATTATAAGTTTCAGGTGTTTATCATTGAAAATAAACGTGTACGTACTACATTAAGTTCACTGCTAAAATGGGCACTTTAGTTTCTAGCTAAATCAGCTTATATTTACTGTGCCATGCAAGCACAGGGCCTTAGTATAGAAACCTGAGACATATTTGTTGAATGAGGCAAATGGAATTTCCTGTAAATATATGAGTCTTTAAATCATTCAGTGTCACTCTATAAAAACTCATAGAAGTATCCTTTAGAATTTAGCACTGGGAAAAACTTTATTTCCCCTGAGGAACAGGTATTTGGCAAATGAGAAACACAAACTTGATCATGTTGCTCTTTTTATTTTTTTCTCTTTCACGTTCAGAAATCTCTGTATCACGTCTGAAAGTCTGAACTTTAGTCACAATGACTATAACATCTTTTATGCGGTGTTATGCTCTTCTTTCTCTTCCTCCTGATTTAATTTTTTTTTTGTTTTGAGTATCTCATCTTTGCGTGTGTGTGTGTGTGTAGAGTTGTATGTTTAAATCCATGTGGGAAACAATGAAATATATAAGTTAAAAAAAAAAACAAACGAATTCTTCATATAGCTGCCAACTGCCCTTCTTTCTTTGTTCTGGGGAACACAAAGCCTTTCTGATTCAGCAGGAATCCAAATCCTATGAGGCAGAGGAAGGCAGGTCCTCCAGTTATTGGGACTCATCGGAGGTCACAGCAGTCTATACTTCTTGGTGGAGGTGGGTTCAAATGGTACCGGCTGTGACTGGGTTTGAATATTGGCTGAACTACTGGTCAGTGAGTTCAGAGTGAGCACACAGTGAACACTTAACACGTGTTAGATTTCATTAGTATTCGAATTGTTTACCTTACCCAGAGCTGAGTGAATGTTGTGGAAAGATAACATTTATGGGGTCATTTTAAAAATGGAGCCAATCAGCCATTATAGAGAACCTGCATTACCTGTCAGATTTGAACTAGGTCAGAGATCTTTGAACTAGGCCAAAAATCAATTGATTTAAGAACTATTAAGCCAATTGTTGAGAAGTCATCCAGATCATGAGAACTGAAGATTATGGACCTTTTGCCAGAGAATAGAATCAGTAACCAACAGTGTATTGCCAAGAATAGTGACACTTGCTAACACAATTCAGCTTTTACTTTCTTAAAATTGAAGTAATACTGACTTACAATATTATATGGAGGTTTTTGGTGTGCAGTCTTTTAATCCAACGTCTGTACATACTACTTTATATTTACCACCAGAATCGTAGTTCTCATTTAACTCTTTTTTTAAATTGTTTTTCTTTCTTTTTTTTTTTAAGATTTATTTATTTATGCATACAAGAGCTGGGGTGCAGGCCAGAGATGCAGGGGGTGAGAGGATTCACCAGAGACAGAGTGGGGAACAGAACAGATGGACTGACTGAAACACACTGCTGAGGGGAGCAGTGGGCGAGGCAGGAGAGGTCTGCTTCGCCAGTTGGTTGCTCCCTGGCCGGCTGGGGATCGAACTCTGTGCTGCAGAAGCTGCAGATTGCTTCACTGCACAGTGCTTAACCCCTTGTGCCACCAGGGAGGCCCTCATTCAACTCTTTAACCACTAATGTTCCTCTACCTTCCTCTCATGAAAAGTTCTGATTTTGTCCCCCTGGGGGCATAGTCTAGGTTTCTTCCTGAATCTCTGTACCCCAAATTACAATTCTTTGATCTCAAATAAGTGTGCTTCACCTTTTTAAATGCCACCTGAGTTTTTAGGTTGCCTATCCTGGACTTGTGGTTGAGTGAAGACCTTCAGCTTTCTGGGCATGTCTGTGAACCTCAGATAATGAATAAATGGAGAAAGCTTATTCCACACTATTAAACTTCACTGCTCACTCACTCAGCCAAAACTATGATTTATGTAGGAAACATGTCACTCTATAATCCTCCCCAAGAATCTTTGTTTCCTCAATAGTAGTTTAATTTTGTCTGTCAGAGAGAATCTTTTTTTTTTTTTTAATTTTATAGAGGCATGTTTATTTATTTATGTATTTATTTATTTGCTTGTTTTGTTTATACATGCACTGGGTACAGTCAGAAGCGCGGGAGGGTGAGAGAATTCACCAGAGCCAGAGCGGGGAGCAGAGCAGGCAGAAGGACCGAAGTACACTGCTGAGGGGAGCAGCGGGCGGCAGGAGAGGTCTGCGCGCCATGTGGGACCCTCCTCTGGTGGCCGGGGAGCAGCCTGGGATCGAACCGGTGCCGCAGAGGCTGCGGGCAGGTTCGCAACCCAGCGCTCAACCGCTGCGCCACCGGGGAGGCCCTGTCAGAGAGAATCTTAATGCCTCTCAGAAACAAACAAAATTAATTAAAAACGAAAACAAAATAAAAGCAGAGAAGTCAGTATCTTTTGAGCTTTTAACACTTACGCCTTTTGGACAATATCTGCCGTAGGGGGCTGCATGTGCCCAGCCAGGGAAGCACTCAGAGGACCAAGGGTCAGACTCCCTGACTCTGGGTCTGTGAAGACAAGGAACATCCTTAATCAGCAAGGACAGCAGGCAATGACCCCAGACCTGGGACTGTGTCTACCAGGTAAGTAGTTAACGGCATACAAATTGGAACAATGTTATACCTAGGAAATTAGCACAAACTAGTGCTGGCACATAGCAAGTGACATTAAAACCAGTGAGACCCTTCAGGAAGGTGATATGACAGTAGGTATCAGGAATTAGAAAAATGTTCCAGTCTTTGACTCACTCCTGGATATTTATCATAAGGAAATAATTCAAAAGAAGAAACATGCTTTTGTATCAACTTATTGCTAGTAATGAGATGCTAGGAATTACCAACAGTGGGTAGTTGGGGAAAGTAATAAAACTGCTTAAAAAAATTAACTCGAAATATATGAATACAAATGCAGTGCCTAAAATAATGCTGGTATCTGGTAAAAACAATAGGAATCAATCAAACAAACAAAGAAACAAAAAACTTCATCTTTCATCTCTCTAGTCACATACAATTACTGCAAATATTCTGGTGTATTCATGTTTATATAATAAATATGCATTCATATTTTAGTAGAATAAACAAAATAATGTCTATGTATTTTTAATCAATCTTATGTTATTAGAATTGCCCATATTATTCAATATTCTTAACAGCATTTCATCATATGGATATAGAATAATTGTTAACCAGACACATAGCTTTTAAAATTTAGATTGTTTCAAAATTTTATAACTGTAAAAAATTTTGTCCCTGTCTATGATTATTATTATTATTATTTTTTAAAGATTTATTTATTTATTTATATGAGCACTGGGTACAGTCAGAAGCACGGGAGGGTGAGAGAATTCACCAGAGCCAGAGCGGGGAGCAGATCAGGCAGAGGGACCTAAGTACACTGCTGAGGGGAGCAGCGGGTGGCAGGAGAGGTCTGTGCGCCATGTGGGACCCTCCTCTGGTGGCCGGGGAGCAGCCGGGGATCGAACTGGCGCTGCAGAGGCTGTGGGCAGCTTCGCAACCCAGCACTCAACCGCTGCACCACCAGGGGAGGCCCATATGATTATTGAATGATAAATGTATAGTCTTTAAGGCATTGTGTCTATTGCCAAATTTTTCTCCAGAAATTTGTACTAGTTTATACTCTGAGGAAATGGTCATTACTACTTGCTTATTAAAGATTTTCCACATGCCTGGTATTGTGTTAGGTGCTAAGAATATCGTAATGAGTTGGATGGACACATACCCTGGTCTCAGGGAACTTAACTTTTAGTTGGGGAGGTGGCTACTAACTCAACACAAAAGAAAAGTAAAAGACTTAAAAAAAATTTTTTTTTTAAATTTTTACAAAGCTGGGGTACAGGCCAGAGGTGCAGGAGGGTGAGAGGATTCACCAGAGACAGAGGGGAGAACAGAACAGGCAGACTGACTGAGATACACTGCTGAGGGGAGCAGCAGGCAAGACAGGAGAGGTATGCTGTGCCATGTGGGTAGCTCCCTGGCTGGCTGGGAATCGAACCCGCCCTGCAGAGGCTGTGAACAGCCTCTCCCTGCCACCAGGGAGGCCCAGTAAAAGACTTCTTTAGGACCTCCGGGGTGGTGCAAGGGGTTAAGTCTCAGCACTATGAAGCTATTTTTTTAAAGGATTTATTTATACATACAAGAGCTGGGGTACAGGCCAGGGGTGTGGGGGGTGAGAGGATTCACCAGAGACAGATTGGGGAACAAAACAGGCATATTGACTGAAGCACACTGCTGAGGGGAGCAGAGGGCATGTCAGGAGAGGTCTGCTGCGTCATGTGGGTAGCTCCCTGGCTGGCCGGGGATTGAACTCGGTGCTGCAGTGGTTTCGGATAGCTTCATAGGTTGTGTCTTAACCCCTTGTGCCACCAGGGAGGCCCTCCTCTCTCTTTTTCTTTGAGCAGAAAAGTCTTGCATGAGTTAACTTTTCCTCAATTTTGTTTGTTTAAAGGTGTTACAATTTTAAAGATTTCAAAAGGTTCACCTGTCATCCCTCTAAGGATCAAGCAGTGTTTGATCATTGTTACCAACTCCATCACAGGAGCTTCCTTGCAACTTGAGTTCCCTTCTGTGATTCTCAAACATTAAGTACAGCTTCACACATCAGAGTGGGTCAGAGCTGCCCATGCTCAAGGCTGCTGAGATTGGGAAAGTTGACTGGGGCACTACCTTGAAATTTATTTTTTCTTGGGTAATAAATAATATTAACAGATTGAAGTATTTTTATGATGAGGGGAATGCTGAGAGGTTTTTTCCCCCCACCTACCATAGCTGGCTTAGAAAAAAACTCACTGAATACTCTCGTTGCTCTTCTTATTTTGAACTTTGGGAGAGGGCACAATAGGGCCAGCAGAGGGCGTGTTTGTACTGAGAAAAGCTGACATTCCTCCATGCTGTAATCGCACCATTTTGATTAGTATTGAAAAAACCTGTCAGTCCTGGGCTGTGGCTCAAAGAGTGATTAGTTTTTCTCTAGTAAATTAACCTGGTATTTAATAAGTATTGGAATAAACTAGGGTAGTACTTTGAGTAATAACATACAGCTTTTAACTGCTTAAACAAATCTGTTAACTCTTAAGAATATGGAGTGTAAGGAAAAATACTGAATGATTTACCCATGTACTTACAGACTAGCTTTGTAAAATATTAACAATTTGCCAAATCTGAGACACATTTAGAATAAAACAATTCAGAAGTGATAAGTCACTTTCATATACAATCCCATTTTCCTCACTCCTAGGAGGTAACCATTCTCTTTAGCTTGGTTTCTATCAATTGACAGGATTCAGAATACACCACCCCGCAATTAGGTGCCTTGGCATGCTGAATATTTTAAGTGGAAGGGATGTGAAGAGCGGTGGCTGAAGGAAGGATGTTCTGATCTACCCCTTCTTCCCTGCAGCAGTTATGAGACTCAAAGGGGAGAGGTGTCCTCCCTGCGCTGGAGAAGAGGGACACTGTCATCTCCGAACACAGAGAGACTCCGAGACTCTATAAATAATCTCCAAGATTCATGCTGGCTTTAAAAAACACCGCCATAATTTTATATTTTCCCCTCTTTGTAATAATTTGCTAACGAGAAACACATGGATGGAGATACAACTCTTAAAGGGCCAAGGACTTGCAGGCATGGAAGCCAGGGTTCATATTTCAGTCCCTTCTTTTACTGGCTGTGTGAACTGGGGCAAGTTCCTACCTTCCCTGAGGCTCATTTTCCTCATCTATGAAATAGGGACAATGCACTTTACCTCATTAGGCTGATGTGAGGACAAAATGAGACAAAGGTACATAAAGCACCTAGTATCTTGTCTTGCTTCCAAGCAAGAGCCAAAAACGACTTCCTTTTTTTTTGGCTTTTGCAGAAAACAAGCCAAAAGACAGACTTTATAGTTTGAAAGATTAAATTATTTGGGTTGCACTTCAGGCCTTTGCCTCCCTCCTTTTCCCTAGAGTCGAAGGGGGAACTGTTTTGCAGATTTCATACTTCCTTGGGCTGCAAGTCTCCAGCTAGGCCTGGAGTCCACAGGAGGTCCTAGTGTGGAGAGACATCACAAGCTACCACAGAGAAGAAAAGACTAAAGATGTGTCTCAGAGAAAAGCTCTTTGGGAAGGACCAGCAGCAAGGAGTTCTTTTGTAAGGGGTTTAGTGGCCACAGGTGGGGAGGACCTCACTACGGTGGGCAGCCCAGGAGCTGGGGAGGGGAGAAGCCACTGCTGTGATAGTGACAGCGGGCCCATTTTTCCTCTTTCCTCTCCAAGTTAACTACCCCCCCCCTCGGAAAAAAACAAAACCTGGTACCTGAGGAGTCCCTGCGTTCAGATTTCTCTACTTTGTGAGAGCAGCTTTTCTTTAAGTCTTTACTATTCTTTGGCTTTTCTGCTTTCTCGCTTGTCTACGGATGAGAGCCCCAGATCACAAACACGCCTTTTGGTGACTTTTAACAACCAGGAGAATTCCTCTCTACAGAGTCACGTGTGAGTCTAAGGGTTTCTGAAGAGCTGCCTTTTGTGCTTGCTTCCAGTTGTTTCAGGTGACTCATTAGGGACCCCTGCATCTCATACAGGGCTCCCCAAAGCTCTCACTCCTCCTAAGAAATCTTTAGTCTTGCCACACCTAAGGGATTAAGCCACTACTGCCACATAGTAGTTGATGGAAAGCAGAGGCTGGGGAGACTTTTATTCAGATGGGGTCAGCAGCTCACACCTGATTTAAGCAAAAGGACTTAAGCAGAGGACTCAATCTCTCAAGAGAAGCCCTCCTCTGCTAAAAATTAAGATGTTGAAGGAACAAACTAATCACTAACCTTTACAGAGCACTTACTCTGTGCTAGGCACTCATAAACACATCACATTAACCACTTTATGTTACAACTGCCTTATGCTGTAAGTATTATTAATATCCCCATTTTACAGATGAAGAAAAAAAGATGCCCAAAGAAGTTCAGTAACTCACTCAAGGTCACACAGTAAATGTTGGAGCCAGGATTTGAATCTGGGGAATCAGATTTGATAATCAGTGTTGCTGGTCACTGTGAAGCTGCCTAAAATTTTCCTGCCAACCTTCCTACCCCCATTATTTTTTAAAGAACAGATTAAATTCACTGACTGCCAAATTCAGAGACACAAATCCTAGTAGCAAGACTCAGGGTAGTGGATGTGAAGGAGTGTTCCCTGGACCATCAGAAGAGAATCTAGAATTATTGAAAAGGCAAATTCTTAGACCTCAGCTGAAGCTAGTGAATCAGAAACTCTGGGGTTGGGGCTCAGAAGGCTATACTTTAACAAGTCTTCCAGGTAGTTCTGATTCACTCTCAAGTTGAGACCCACCATGTTAGGAAACAAACAAGCATTGAAGTTTTATTCTTTCTTTGGATTCTGGGAGTGGGTACACTTTGTAACCCTTAAAGATGCTTCTACTTCCCTAGAGCTCTGAAGTCTAATTCAATTTCTCAAAGACTTACTGGGCATGTGTAGGGTAAAGAAAATATCAGGCTTTTCTGCCCTTCCGCCATCAGGATAGATGATGGATCCTTGTCCTGAATGCATGCCTGATGGTGGGCACCTGGAATAGGGTGTGGGCACAGGTAGATGGGATTCAGCTGAGCTAAGACTGTGCTTTTTAAGGGCGGCGTCACGGGGACGCCAGCAGCAGCAGTAGAAGCCGAAGTAGCAGCAGCAGAAGCCGAAGCAGAAGCCGAGAAGCAGCAGAACGAACGCCAGATAGCCCAGATAGAGTAAAGACTTGCTGGGGGCTGGGAGGCCTGCCAGCCTGCCAGCCCCCCAGCCAGCACCCCTGCCTGCCATATGCCTGGTGAACCCCAAATAAAAAACCTGCAAAACTACTGAGGACTCTGACTCCTCCTTTACCCGGTCTGCATGGGATCAGAAAACCTGCACTGTGCCCAGTCCGGCCTTTACAGCATGTTATTTCTTTGGACTTTGAGGATGGGGTAGAAAGGAAAGTTTTTTATTTCACCCAGAGCACTTTCCCAAACTTCTCTGAATTGGAGAGTGCCAGTTTGGCCTGTCTTGTGAAAACTTAAGTGAAAACTTGAATGTTACATTCTCACCAAGTCTGAGATCCATGGCACTCCACTGGAAGTGGCACTGGATAACTGCTTATAATTAACCATGAAGGAGCCTCCCTGGTGGTGCAAGGGGTTAAGTCGCAGCACTCAGAAGCTACCGGCAGCCACTGCTGCACAAGTTCAATCCCAGGCCAGGGAGGTGACCCACATGGCGCAGCAGACCTCCTGTCTTGCCTGCTGCTCCCCTCAGCAGTGTGGTTCAGTGGATCTGCCTTTTCCGCTACTCAATCTGTCTCTGGTAAATCCTCTCACTCTCTGCACCTCTGGCCTGCACCCCGGCTCTTGTATGCATAAATAAATCTTAAAAAAAAATTAACCATGAAGATCACTACTGAATTTGGAGTAGGAGAAAAACAAACTGACAATTAACCTTAAGACTATGAGGAGCAAAAAAACCGATCCTTACATGGTTAAAAAAATTTCCTTGACACTTTTTCCTTTCAACATTTGAAATCTTTTTTAAATATTAGCATTTATCATACAGAACAGGCAAGTTCCTTCTTGAATTTTCTGCAGTGATGTTTTACTGCATTAAAAACTCTGAATAACCTTGGAGGAGCCTGCGCCTCTACCATAAGACAGGAGATCTGTTGTATCGACTTGGTTGTTGCACACATTCGGCCATTGTCTGGGCTGCCTAAGACCTCCATGGCATTTGGGCAAGACCTTGGCACCTGTAGTGCCAGCAAGGCACAGAGCAGGTTTTTTATGATCCAGGCAGACGGGTTAAGGAGTCTTGGAGCCCTCACTGGCTTTTTCAGGCTTTTTGTGAGTTTTCTACACCATTTGTAGTGAAACAACTAGATGCAGGGCAGGCAGGGAGACCTGGGGGCCAGGAGGCTGGCAGGCCCCTTGGCCCCCTGTGAATCTTCACTCTTGCGCATGGGTCTCTTTGCTCCCATCCTCTGTTGCCGCCCGTATATGTGCTGTCTCTCAGCTCAGGCACACCCACTCATGCATGCCCACACCTTACTCAGGTGCCGCCATTAGGCACGTGTGTAAGACCACAAGTGTCCGTTATTGATGCTAATGGAGGGAGGGTGGAAAATTCCTGATAACTTCCATTTACCCTACAGCATTTTCATCCATGTTCACATGCTGGATACATATGTGATATACCACCTGGCAAGTCTGAAGTCTGGGATGTTTCCCTGGCTATTGCCACTCAGTTTTGAGAATGGAGGGGGTAGGGGGCTCCCTCCATTTTAAGCAGAAACTCTAAGAAGTTTGGCCTAGGGCCTCACCAGTGGCGCAGCGCTGGGTTGCGAAGCTGCCCGCAGCATATGCAGCACCAGTTCGATCCCTGGCCCCGGGCAAGGGTCCCACATGGTGCGCAGACCTCTCCTGCCACCCGCTGCTCCCCTCAGCAGTGTACTTCGTCAGTCGGCCTGTTCTGCTCTCCGCTCTGGCTCTGGTGAATTCTCCCACCCTCCCACGCTTCTGACTGTATCCAGTGCTTGTATAAATAAATAAATAAATCTTTAAAAAAAAAAAAAAAAAAAGAAGTTTGGCCTAACACAGGGATCAGGCTAGCATATTTTATTGTCTGATATCTAGAAGTAGTGAAATCTTTTAAAATGAGAACAAAGGGTGTTTTTGACTAGAGTATTAGCTGAAAGAAACAATAAAAAGATATAAACAGAAAAAGATCAAATTTAGGGTGAAACCCCACATCCATGACTTTGCATATTTATTTTCAGTGACTCTGTGCTCTTTGCCCCCTGGGTGAGGCGAGAAGGAGGAAGAATCTGGGTGAAGAGTTACCATGAGAAGATACTTATTCACTGTGCTATCCAGGTGAGGTTCACACTCAGTGAAGGGTTACTGCGCATGAATCACTTCACTTATTCCCATGCAAACTTGAGGGGAGTGTGATTTTCAGGCTCAGGATAGATGAGGGAGAGGCTAAGGTGGACTTAATCCAACTGTAGAGCACATGCTCTCTTCTGAGTGGCTCAGGTGCTGTTAGCCTGTAGAGAATACCTTATGCCAAGTAGAGGCACCCCAGTAGGAGGGCTAAGCAGGAAAGTGCTGGGGTGCCTGATTCAGGGAGCAGAGCAGATTGGATTTCAGCCCTCACTTGCTCCCTCTGCTGGACACCTTTGTATAGCAAATGACTGGCTGGCCCTGCATCCGCTCAGAATATAAGTCTGGCACATCTATTTCCATTTCTTCAAGAAGCAATTGGGGGCCTCCCTGGTGGCGCAAGGGGTTAAGCAGAATTCCTCCCCAACTGGTACTATCAAACACAGTATCAGTTGGGGAGGAAACTGCACTCAAGCATCTCTGGCCACCCAGAGCTATAGGTGACAGGGCCACCCAAGCTTGTTGGAATATTATCCCTCCGGGCACGAAACCTCAGTTCCTTTACTTGAATATCCCAGTCCTTGTGAAAGAAGGAACAGAGAGGTAGAGATGCCTGTGGGACCTCTTTTTTTTAAATGGCCCTAGAATCTCTACTCTTTTCTATCAGTCTGCAGCCTCTGGCAGGAAAGAAAACTCAATAAGTTCAAGGACGTAAGAGCATGTTATTTTCAGTTGGCTTGTGATACACTAGAACACACAGGAATCTGAACTCAAAATTTTGGTCTGTGTTTTGATTTCCAGCCCATGAATTGAGAGGGAATGGCAGATTCTCTACAAACATTCTCCACAAACATCTTTTAGCAGTGCAAACGTCACCTGACAATTACAGTGATAGATTATAAAACCCAACCTAGCTGCCTATACCTGGGGTGTCTTGATGATTTTCTCTGAGGGGTCCTTCTGGTTCATCATGATAGTCCAGTTCATCACCACTGTCCTATTAGGTTAAAACACAACAAAAAACACATAAGGCAAAATAAAGGCAAACATTCCTGTGGTCCATGACCTTTGGTAAAAGGGAATCCAATTATATGTGTTGTTTCTTCTTCTTTGTCAACTTATTTTAATGACCAGAAAGTCTCCCAGTGTGAACAGCCTTAGAGAGTCAGGTGGGCTCATCAGCAGGTTGAACACTTTTAGATTCTTCCTGCTGCGTCTCCTAATGGAGGTGTATTCCTTCCATTCATCTGGGCAGTGCTTGAAGCCTGGCACAGGGAGGAGCTAGCTGAGTGCCAGGGAGAAGAATGTTACAGGTCAAGGCCAACTGGTAGAAGGAAGCTGAATACCTGGATAGTCAAGGAAGGACTGGTGTGAGAAGGGCAGAGACCAAGGAAAATGGGAAGGCTGGAGAGGAGTCAGACCCCCAGGGCCTTGAAGGTAGGATAAGGACTTTGGTCTTTATCTTGAGAACAAATGGAAGGCACTGAGTGTTTAAAGCAAGGGAGCAAAAGGGTCAGATTGGTCTTTTGTGGGGCTTCCAGGATTACCATGGATTGGGTTTCTTATCACACTTAATCCCCTTTTCCTTTTTCCTCTGAGACATGCAAGCTGCTTGCAATCCCACCACCCACAAAGCTCCATAACAGGGGTTCTCAACCTTGGCTGCACATTAGAATTTTTTGTGAAACTTTAAAAAGCATGATTCTAAGGACCTGGCCCAAATGTTAAAATCAGGCTTTCTGGAACTGGAGCATTTAGAGGCTTTTTGGATGATTCCAATATACAGCTGGGCCTTCTCTAGAGCTCTGGAAAGGCAACTCCAGTAGTCAAAGTGATTCAGTAAAGCCCCATGTGACTGATGAAGGCAGCTCTTGGCCTTTGTCCTCTGGATCTGCTTAACCCACAGCTTCCTTTCAGCCACAGAGAAGGAATCTGACGTGGAAGACCCTGGAAATCTCTCTGGGGACTAAAGTTCCTCCCCCTTTGGTGACAACAGTTTTCCATGTTGTTATCAAATACCACGCAGCTTTGGGAAGAGTCAGTGATCTGTTTGTTTGATAGTCTCTTCTCACTCAATGACTTTTTACCCTGCCTGTTTCCCACTTGTTAGCTTAGGGTTTGGAGCTGGAGAGATAGTATGACATAAAAAAGCAGGACAGGTAAGTAGTTTTCTTTCTTTTGCATTTCTCACTTTGGAAACAAAGTAGATTTAACGTGGTACAGTAAAATAAATTCATCTCTGAATAAATGGAAAGGTTTAAAAAATCATTGCAGGAAAACCGTGCCTCAGTCACGGTAAACTGCTAAGTTGGAAGACTAGAAAAGGTATACATTTTTAAAAATCCTGTTTATAAATCCTTTAAAATCTAACAGGAAAATGGATTAAAAGGGAGAAACAAGCTTCCTCCTTTGGAAGAATTTCAAAGCCAAAAAGGATAAACCTTCATTCTTAACAACATGCAGCTATAAGCTATGAGCCTTCAGGGGCAAGAAATAATCTTTTCATTTTACAAATGGGAAGGCAGAGAGAGTCAGGGATTTGGGAAAAATCTTTGGTGAGTCCCTATTAGCAAAAGAGTCTTAATTTGAAATTTCTGTTGTTTTGAAAGTGTCAAAAGTGCTATCATATTTTCATATCTGACCACACATATGAAATTACTTATATGTGAGCTCATTTATTGTCAACAACCTAAATATTCCATCAATTTGGGACTTGTTAAATAAATTATGTTAATTACTATAATGAAATACTACACAGCTGTTAAAAAGCATCTCAACATAGAACTCCAAGATACAGTAAGTTAAAAAAATTAGACTTGGAACAGTGTGTTACATGTTAAAATGTGTATAAATTACCTCTATATTTGTGTTTTTAATCTATGTATATTGACTTACATGTGCATATTATAACTCATGAAACTATAGGAAACTGGCAACAGTGTTTGTCCAAGCTAAAGGGAATAAGCAGCTGGGAAACATACTCTTTTATGTTTGACTTTAAAAACATTATCTGAGTATTTTCTGGATTATAAATTTGATTAAAAGGGCCTCCCTGGTGGTGCAAGGGGTTTAGATGCAACCTATGAAGCTATCTGAAACCTCTGCAGCACAAGTTCGATCCCCGGCCAGGGAGCAACACACATGGTACAGCATTCCTCTCCTGACTCACCCGCTGCTCCCCTCAGCCGTGTACTTCCATCAATCTGCCTGTTCTGTTCCCCATTCTGTCTCTGGTGAATTGTCTCACCCCCAGCATCTCTGGCCTGTACCCCAGTTCTTGTATGCATAAATAAATCTTTAAAAAAATTAAAAAAATTAAATTTGATTAAAAAACTAAAATGAAACTAATAGGCTGTCACTTTTAATATGTGTTACAAATGCAGTGGCCAATCTGAGTAATTAAAACATAGTAATTAAAAAAAAACCACCCAGGTAAGAGTCCTTGGTGAGTGAACAAAACAAACTAATGGTCTGTAAATCCAAATCCCAGCTCTGTTATTCTGGCCAAGTCATTTGTGCTTCATCTGTTCATTCTACTTTTGAGCATTATTGTCTGCTGTGTGCCAGAAACTGCACTGGCACTTCGTGGGGGCAGAAAGCTGAAAGATATATTTGTAAGCAGTTCACTAACTTGACAAATGACGAGAAATCTCACCATTGCAATGCAGTGTGATAAGTGCTGTGACAGATTATGACAGGTTTCTGCAGGACCTCATGGGAGGTGAAGCTAAATTAGGCTGGGGGAGGTTTGTTTTCCAGCAGACATGGTGCTAAGTCTTGCAGAGAAGGGCAGTAGGTAGTTTAAGGCAGGGAAGGCAGCTTGGGCACGTTGAGGGGCAGTGCAGGGGTAGTGTGAATGAGACACAGGCCAGATCTTGCCCGTTACAGTTGGGAGTTGGAAGAACCCTGCATTTGTTCTATTTTTCTATTTATAAAATAAATTCACTGTTGTTGCTGGAATTTAACCGGGAGGCCAATGAGGAGGTGGTAAAGAATTTCAAGCAAACTACTAATATGACGGGGCTGTATTTAGAAAGAGCACTGGCAGCAGTTGGTATTATAGGATGGCGGTGGGCGGAGCGGGAGGTAACAAGCACAAACTACAGCATCAAAATCAGACTATGATAGACAGTTGCACGAGCAGTTGGGGTCAGTTTCTAGAGTCAGACTCATGGTCTACACTTTGTGACATACAAATCATGTGAGTTACCTAACCTCTGAGGCTCAGTTTCTTTGCAGGGACGTGGCCAGATGACCTTAAGTTCTCATTTGTCCTTGAAGAAACTTCCACTGGTCCTGCCCTCTCTCCTCATGCACAACATCCCATTTGAGCATGGGACTTTTAGGCAAGCTTTCCTAGGGGACTGCTGGGAGAATGCAGGAGTCAGAGGTGGGGGAGAACCAGTTGCCTGAATTATCATTGAACCTCAACCTCCCCATCTGTGAAATGGGAGTAATAAACATTGTACAGAGTTCTTGAAATGCTTAATTAGGAAAATATATTCAGGATTTCTGTGTAATAAATCATGTAACACACACACATACACATAAATGCCTGATTTCAATGTCTTCTTTATGATGAAAGAAAATCAATATCTAATTTGAGTTTTGACCTTAAGTGCTACAGTTTTTCTTGGTATTAAAAAGACTTCACACTTCTTTAGAAAGAAAACTGCTTTATGAAAGTCACAGGGTTTCTTGTGCTATTAAGTATAAACATATTATTAAATCGCTGCTCTCCTCCCAGTTTCTAAAGCCAGAACAAAGACTTATAATTAAATTCTTTGCAGGGACAGAATAGATAGACCTGATTACTCAGGTATTGTGGGTGCTGTGGCTCTTGCTGCCATCAGCCACATCACTGACTGTCATCTCTTGTCACCAAACCTCAGTTTCCTCATCTTCACAGTAGAGATCTGCACTCTTACCAGGAAGGGGGTGGGGAAGATAAAATAGGGTTCACTATGTGAGGGACCTGAGCCTTAGTGGGGATCAAAGACTGCTTCTTTCTCCCTTATGAATTGGGTCCTTTGTAGCCATGAATATTCTTTGAAAATTATTTCATGTAATTGTGTCTCACTGTCTAGTGGCAGGTATGGAGCCCAGCATTATTGTCTCCACTCTTTCTAAAGAGGAAATGGGGGGCCAGCAGTGTTTTGAGGTCATTGGTTTGGGGGTCAGGGAGCCTAGCTTGTGCCCTGCGAAAGTAGGCTGAATCACAATTTCTGTGAGTCTTGAAAGGGATGCACCAGAAAATGGACCTTAGGGATGATAATGTCTTTCCCTTTATAATATGTAGCCAAAATCACTGAACAAAAAGTATAACACCAAAGCATTATGGACAGTAAATACATAAAAAAAAAAAATTGTAGAATTCCCCACTCTGAATTTTGCAGTTTGTAGGTGCTCCATAAAAATATTTTCATTTTTTTCCATAGAAATTATCACCTTTCGAGCCTCCCCGGTGGCGCAGCAGTTGAGCGCTGGGTTGTGAAGCTGCCCGCGGCCTCTGCGGCGCCGGTTCGATCCCCAGCTGCTCCCCGGCCACCGGAGGAGGGTCCCACATGGCACGCAGACCTCTCCTGCCGCCCGCTGCTCCCTCAGCAGTGTACTTCGGTCCCTCTGCCTGCTCTGCTCCCCGCTCTGGCTCTGGTGAATTCTCTCACCCTCCCGCGCTTCTGACTGTACCCAGTGCATGTATAAACAAATAAACCAAATAAATAAATAAATAAATAAAATACGTGCCTCTTTAAAAAAAAAAAAAGAAATTATCACCTTTCAACATACTAAAAAATACTGTCTAGAACAGGGCAAGGATCTCAGTGCTTTGTTCACTGATGCACCCCAAGTGCCCAGCAAATGCCAGACATGTAGCAGGGAGTCAGTGCTAGTACAGGCGAGGTGGGTGGGTAGTGATAATGATGCTGATACTCATCCCAGGAAGCACCAATCATCATTTCTAAGGAAGAATAAAACTAATAATAAAATCAAAAAATAAAGAATAAAACTAATCCTAAGGAAAAAAAAAGGATAGTTTTATTAACGTAAGTGTTCTGGGCTGAATTGCGTTCCTGCATTCTATCAATTATTGAATTCCAACCTACAGTACCTCAGATGTGACTGCATTTGGAAATAGGGTTTTTTTTTTTAAAAAAAAGATTTATTTATTTATGCATACATGAATTGAGGGGGGAGGTGAGAGGATTCACCAGAGACAGAGTGGGGAGTAGAACAGGCAAATCAACCAAAATGCACTGCTGAGGGGAGCAGTGGGCAAGATAGGAGAGATCAATGCACCATGTGGGAGCTCCCTGGCTGGCTGGGCATGGAACTTGTGCTGCAAAGGCTGTGGATAGAGGCTGTTGTGCTTAACCCCTTGCACCACCAGGGAGGCCAGAATAAGGTCGTTAGGCCAGAAATAGGGTCGGTGGCCAGAAATAGGGTCTTTAGTGGTAAAATGAGGCCACTGAGGGAGAGGGTGTCCTGATTCAATATGATTGGTTTCTTTATAAGAAGAGGAATTTAGGGCCTCCCTGATGGTACAAGCACCTTAAGCACAGCACTGAGAAGCTATCTGTGGCCTCTGCAGCATGAGTTCAATCCCCAGCCGGCCAGGGAGCTACACGGCACAGCAGGCCTCTCCTGACTAGCCTGCTGCTCCCCTCAGAAAGTATTTCAGTCAATCACTTGTTCTGCTCCCCACTGTCTCTGGTGAATCCTTTCATCACCCCCCCACCCCCACCTCTGGCCTGTACCCCAGTTCTCATATGCATAAATAAAAAAAATCTTAAAAAAAAAAAGAAGAGGAGTTTAGAATACACACACACACACACACACACACACACGCACACAGGAAGATCACGAGATGACACAGGGAGGAGGTGGCATCTACAAGTTACCAAGTAAGGCCTCAGAAGAAAGCAACCCTGCTACATACTGAACTTGGGCTTCCAGCCTCCAGAATGGTAGGAAAAGAAACTTCTGTTGTTTTAGCCACCCAGTCTGTGGTAGTGTGTTATGGCAGCCAGGAAACTAATATTATATGTAATGAATGAAGGTAATTATTTTGAATCTTTGTAGCAAACATCTTTTGTTTTGTTACCCAGATTCATTCTCTTTTCTTCTGGTTTTAAGTGTCCTGTTTTCCCTTTTTTTGAGATATTCTTCCCCTTCCCATCTTCGTCCATGGGGGCCAGGCCAGTCAGTATATTCCAATCCTCTAGCCTTGCTGATTCACTGGGCATGGGCTTATGACCCAAGCTAGGAATGAGATTCAGTTCCTGAGTGCCCTGGGAGAGAGCTGCCAGTGCCATATTGGCATCTTGGGGGAAGGGTCTCTCTCTAAGAGGAAACAGGAAAGCAGAGCCTGTTTACAGGAAGAGACTGTCTAGGGGAGGCAAACATGACTCTTACTGAAAGCCCCACCTTACAGAGTTGGGGTAGCTCAGAGAAGGTGAAACTATGAACTCCGAATTAGCTGAAGTTAAGAGGGTGACCCTCATGACCTCTGAAGTCTCTGCCTGTCTATTAGCATTAGATAGTGCCACCATCAGGAGCCCTTCAAATATTTGGTTTCTTTTCCTGCTTTTGTCTTTCCCAGTCACTTCTTATCAAGAGCCTGGGATGTGGTCCTCTAGGGTAGAATAAAGGATCTGAGTTCTTTCCATGCCAAGCCTGGCTCTCTTGCTGGTCAGTGTCTTTTATTCCATGGTCATTTATTTCCAGGTTATTCAGCTCTGAGGGGGAGCAAAGAATGTGCTGGAAGAGGTTCTAAGGGATGTGAGATGAAAAGGGTGGGTCGACGAGTGGAATACCTTTCCTGTCCAGGCGCTGTGTTAGATGCTGGGCAGGAGGGAGGATGGCAAAGACAGACAATGACATCCCCCCAGGGGAACTCTCACTACCCTTAGTTAGATATGAAGCTGAGCTTGGGAAAGTAATAAACTCTTAGAAAAAGAAGTCAAGGTCAGACGTCCAGAAGAGGATTTGCAACTGACCGCTAAATAGTTAACTCCAGGATCAGCATATCAACTATGGTGAAAACCAGCAACAATTACTATAGCCACTGTCAAGTAAAATGAATTCTATTTTCCTCTTTCATGAGGTGGCTCACGGTGATCCTTTCCTCCTGTCTTTGCCCTGTCCCTATCACCCAAACCAGACACCCAACTGATTTGTCTGCGATGGCTGGCTGTGATTACTGTCCTAATTTGTTCTTTCTTCATCTGCTACAAACTGCCTATTTTCTGTCCCTTCTGATAAAGCAGGAAACCTGAGGGACTTCTGAAGCTGTTTTGTACCATGCAGAAGTGTATTAACTGGAATGCCTGTGCGTGTGTCTAAAAACCCCTCGTCTTCTCAGTGTGAGATCACCTTCAGGAACGGCGTCATGTCGATGTGCAGCTTGCGCGTGTAGAATTCTTTTCTGTTTGAACATATCGGCCTGTTATTTATACAACTTTGAGGCTCTCCTGTCTTCTGAGCTGCTGCCTCCAAGGACTGCTGGGCACTCTGTGAAGAGAAGCAGAAAGCTCAACTTTCAGAGGAATGATATACAGCACGACAAGAGTGAGTCCGAATTTCCAAATATTTATAAAAAGTAATTTTTCATCGTTGGAACACTAATAGTAACACCTATTTTTAGCGCTGAAGACCCAGGGGACTGACATGTACAGAGAATAAATCGGAGGCTGGGTATTAGCTCATTTCTGGGCTTGGTGTAATTGGGAAATGGAAAATGGGTCTTTACTATGTCTTGGGTTTGTAGTCATTTTCTTTAGTCCTCACAACAACCCTGAGAGGCAGGTGTTGTTATTCCCATTTCACAGCGGAGGGGATGGAGCTTCTGGGAGACGAAGCCCTTGCACAAAGCCTCACACTTGGTAAATGGCAGAGCTGAAATCACTGTCTGTCCAAGGCTCCCCTTTTTTTTTTTTTTTAAAGATTTATTTATTTATGCATACAAGAGCTGGGGTACAGGACAGAGATACGGGGGTGAGAGGATCTGCCAGAGACAGAGTGGGGAGCAGAACAGGCAGACTGACTGAAATACACTGCTGAAGGGAGCAGCAGGCAAGACAGGAGAGATCTGCCTTGCCATGTGGGTTCTCCCTGGCCGGCCGGGGATTGCACTCGTGCTGCAGAGGCTGTGGATTGCTTCATAGAGCGGTGCTTAACCCCTTGCACCACCAGGAAGTCCCCCAAGGCTCCCTTTTTAGGGGTCTTTTTGTTTATTTCTATGGCCTTCATGACTGCCTATCAAATCTGTCTTGTAGCAAAAAAAGATATACCAACAGCAATATTCCGGCTTGTTTGCAAGCTGAAAATGTATCTGCTGTGTTAGGAAGATTGATGGGGACAAATCCAGCAGAGAGGAAAGGAAGGATGGTCTAATGGAGGAGTCCAGGAGGCCCCAGGGGAGGGGAACACTCAGATCTTTGGGCCACCCTCTCCTGACAGGGCAATATGCAAATGGTGTCACCTTTCAGAACACGACAAAGTTTGATGGGGACTTGCCTTCCAGCTGAAAGCTGGGACCTGCCCCCTGAGGGATCGTTCCAGGACACTGGATCACATCTCTCCTGGGCTTAAAGTCTTCAGAGTTTATTGCCCTTGGGAGGAAGGTCAATCTGCTTTAAAGGTTTACAAGACTCTTTCTTCCTGGCCCTGGACTATCTCCTGCCTCATTCAGCATTTCAACAAATATTAATGGAGTGCCTTTTCTTTTTTTTTTTTTTTTTAAAGATTGATTTATTTATTTATACAAGCACTGGGTACAGTCAGAAGCGCGGGAGGGTGAGAGAATTCACCAGAGCCAGAGCGGGGAGCAGAGCAGGCAGAAGGACCGAAGTACACTGCTGAGGGGAGCAGCGGGCGGCAGGAGAGGTCTGCGCGCCATGTGGGACCCTCCTCTGGTGGCCGGGGAGCAGCCGGGGATTGAACCGGCGCCTCAGAGGCTGCGGGCAGCTTCGCAACCCAGCGCTCAACCGCTGCGCCACCGGGGAGGCCCTGGAGTGCCTTTTCTATGCCAGGTAGAGTGGAAATGGCAGTGCTAGAAGCAGACTAAAGTCTCCACATTCATGAAAACTGCACATAATTTCCAGTGAGAGGGAAGAGATAATAAACAGCAAATGGAACAGAAGTTATGTCTGAAGGTGATTTGTGACATGGAGAAAAGGAAAGCAGAGAGAGGAGTGAGGAGTAGCTGGGGATGGAGGTGGAAACTGCACCCCATGCAGGGCAGTCAGCGAAGGTGACAAAAAAGTCATGCTTGAGCAAAGCTGGGGGGCGGTTCTGTGGGGCTCAAAGGGAGGTGTCTACCTCACTGTGGGGACAGGAAGTGCAAGGGGAGTACCACTATCATCAACACTGACCTTTCAGTTCCTAGAGCAAGACCTTCACAGGCGCCCTTCCCTCTGCCGGGAATACATGCCTCCCTTCCACATCCTCCTCACCCTTCTGGTCCATCTGTGTCTCCCAGGATGTCTCATGAGCACTTGGCACCTTTGCTCACGAGGATGCTCGTGCTTGTGAGCCCCCGCTCTGCCCTGCTAGACTGTAAGCTCATGGAGGGCAGGGACCACGACTGCTCTGTTCCCCTGTAGCAAGTCTGGCAGCAAATACACACTTGATACACATTTGCTAAACCAAGGAGTATTGACCATACCAGGGACAAGCTACCATCCGGGTCATGGCCCACTCCAGTTAGAATGGGGGGTGCAGGCTGCACTCCATCTGTCCACCTGTGACTATGCAGGTGCTTCTTTTCACCAACTTTCTCCCTCTGCAGGGCAGCAGCCTCCTGCCTGCCCATGACCTGTACCTGCCAGGTCTTCTCTCCACTGACCTCCTTCAGTGGAGTCCGCTCTCCTCAAGGCCGCCCGCCTACAACCATGCAGGCCTGTTTTAGCAAACCTGTCCCTTTTGGGGCAGCTCTTCCTGCCCACTTGTGTCTATATAAGTGTCCTTTATTATTCTGTCCCTTTCCCTAATAAACCTGCCCTTTAAAAAAAAAAAAAAGAATGGGGGGTGCAATGGAGACACTTCACAGGTCCAGGGACCATGTGCAGACCTCCAGAGGTGCGTGCACAGATAGCACTGGCTTCTTACTCCCAAAGAAGAAAGTTACAGGGCTGATTCTCTGGGGTCACATACATGAGTGTGACATGAGCTCACCCTGGGTGTGGATTTGATCATTTCCATATTTTTCTAGGAGACTAACTCTTGAACGTCTGTCTCTCTGGGCAGACATAAACTCTCCCTCCCATGCCATTTAAAATACTTCTAAGTATCAATGATGAATTATTGGATGGTGGGTCCCATCAAGCCACCATCCTGCTGATGAATATCTATACCCTTTTTTCTTTGTATTGAAATGTGGCTAGAGATTTTTCTAGACAAATACATATTCCATTGTTTTTGTCACATCAGCCATATATCTGATTAGCTTCTCGGAATGAGACAGCCCCACTACTTCTAGATAAAATGAAAGTATTTGGTTCAAACTAGAATCAGACCAAGCATTTCAAGCTTTTCAGCTTCCAAAATCATGCATGAATCACTGGATAGAATAATAGAAATCAGAACAATTCTGATTTGAGGAAAATTGCTCCATTATCTCCAAGATTTTGTGTTAGGCTAGAGAATAAAAGGCATAGCCAAGACCAATCCCAATGGCTGAAATTACTTGAGCTCCTAGTGTGGGTGTAGGGAGGCGTTGAGAAAAGTAGCCCCCAAAACACTTGGACTATAAATCTTGTGATAAAAACAATTCTCTTGACTGTATGGCTCATCTCCCTAATCTTTAGAGGTTAACAATTTGAGCTTGCTGGAATGTTTTCAGAGAAGGCTCTATAGTCACAGGAATGTGAAGTACTGTTTTTGCTTATTACATTCAAGTGTTCTAACAAATAAATGATAGTGAAAGGAGGTTAGAGAGATACGAGGAAAGAAAAGATTAAACACATAAAAAGGATGCTGGGGGGAATTGATAAGAGAAGAAAAAAATCAGAACGTTAAAACCAGGCAAGAGAGTCAGGCATTGGGGTGGTTTTTCATTTATTCATTACACTCATTTATTAAGTGATGTTGTATATGTCAGATGAACCAGCACATAAAGAAGCAGGAGATTTTAAGTTAGTGATAAATCTATGGAGACATGAGTGAAATGGTGATAAGATGGAGGCTGTGGGGGAGGGGATGGCTGGCCTTTGGGTGATGGGGAAGACCTTTCTGAAGAGGTGATATTTGAGTAGGGCTGGGTGACAAGAGGGAACCAGCCCTGGAAGGAGCTATCTTTAGCAGTCGGAGTAGCTGTATCTGATTATTAGGAGGGAAAACCAGGCAGGAGTTCTGTGGAAAGGACACCCCCATTTCTCAGCCAGTTCTGCCCAGCTTTCTGGGCTCCAGCCCTGACCCTGTGAGGCACCCTTCTATTTTCTGGGTGGTAAAGCCGTCAGAATTGATACTTGCAGCTCTTGGGTTATTTTGAGAGCAAAGACAGCAGAATAAGTATTAAACACGAATCAAGGTCTCCAACAATGTAGAAGGGAGAAGAAAACACAAGGCTAAGCAGAAGGAAAGGAGAATGAGGAAAACTGGAAGACAGCAGAGGCCCCTGAAGCTTGTTTGTTTCTCTTCTGTGCATGCACTAGTGGGGATGATTACAAACTGATGGAAGCATGACATGCTTAGAGAAAATCAAAACCTATACTGTATGGTAAATACTTTAATATTTTTACATTCTACTAAAAACACCTGGAAGCCTTTCTCCTCGGTAAATGAAACAATAAAGATTAATGAGTTAATTTGGAAAAGCTGATTTGAATTGCACAGAAGGTGTTGCGTAAGTACTTGGCATTTAAAAAGTTATCTGACATTTAAAAGGAGATGACTGTTAATGAATTCAAGAGCTAATCTTACACTCTGACAGACTGAGCCATGGAAAATCCAGGATTATTATCTTGCTATAAACATAATGTAATTCACTTGAAAGCCAGAATAAAAGAGAGTACTCAGCTGTATACAAATATCCACACACGTACATCTATAATGTAGCAAAATTTACAGAGGATGTCTTTTAAATGACACAAATATCATTGCCTTTTCTATTCTTAGGTTAGAATATCTGGGCCACAAACTCCAGGAGAAAACTTTTTTCTCTGGCTTTTCCCTTGATTCCTTCCAGCTGGTGTGTTTTGAGGGGTCACTAGCACAGGCTCTACAGCATCAGGACATTTCAGCTTAAGGAAAGGAGATTCTAAAACCAACCAACTAGGTCTCCACCCCTGGGTCCCACACCAACGATACAGATCTGTTCTGCAGGCGTCCCTCAGGCCCTCCTCTTTACTTCTCCCACTCCTTTCTAATTGGGGTTCCCCATCTCTGTAGCTGCGGTTTAATGGCTCCAAGAAGAGCTATTGTCCCTCATTAAGGAGGCTGCAACCCTCTCACTTGTCTAACTGCCTCCCACACAGCTCACAACTTCATTCTGCCCGAGAGCAAACTGCCAA